ATCAGTGACCCCCCACAAAACCAAARCCGACCGTTTCGCGAGGCGAGGAGCCAAAACAATGATAAAAATGAAAACCGCAAAATGCCTTTCTTGTTAKTATTACTATTACYATGTCCCGAATCACTCGCGACTCTTTTTCATTCAAAATATAATATATTCCAGTGTTTTTGCATAWTTTTCGAAGAAATGTTGCAWAATCGCGCGATCATTGCCGATTTCCGAAGCATTTTTTTATTTTTCACTCCTCTACYGGTACTGTAATTCGATCTTTCCAAAGACTTCAAAAACCCTAACGGATAACGGCAGTACCCKGTACGAGTACGAGTAGTACGGTACTCGTACTCGTASTCGTAGTCGGCTCGTTTCGATCATTTGCTCCCTCCCCCTGACAAATCAAGCAACAAATGCTGTGCACGGCAAACGTTGAGGTTGTTGCCCACAAAGTCTAACTAGATAGCATAGCATAGCATCGCATCGCATATATCTTTCGTATAGAAACCAAAGAACAACCCAGAGGAGGGAAGACAGACACCAAACCGAAGCGAAGCGACACCGGCAACCACACACACAAATACAAAAACACACAAACACAAATACAAACACACAAAAAAAAACACAAACACACAAAAACACACCAAACCAGCCATGGCCGAGGAGGACGCCGCCGAGCGGGCCACCCAGGAAATCCGGGCCCTCCTGAGGCGACTCGATCCCAAGGACTCCTCCCACAAGGACCGCATCCGCCGCCTGAACAAGTTCCGAAACTTTGTGACGGGGGAATCCAACGCGGGGACCCCCGAGTTCTACGACGACGACATTCCCCTGCTCCTCCTGGGGTCCTCGGCGCCGCCGGCCCTCCTGGCGGCCTCGGACCTCCTGGAGGAGATGGACTACGGCGGAGGAGGCAGCGGGAACGAGATCTACGGGCTCCTCCAGGCCTGCGGGACGCCCAGCGTGGAGCACGACCACATGCTGAAGCGKTCCGCCCGGCACGCCATGTCCCTCCTCAAGTTCCTGGTCATCGATTTCGTGGAGGAGGGAGGGAGCGGAACGGCGCCGGACCTCAACCTCTTTGCGCAGGCCTTTTGCTCCTTCCCGGTCGACAAGTACGGCTACATGAGCCTGGACCTGCACCTGATCGGGGACCAGAGGGGGGGCGCCCAGGAGGACGCCTGCGAGGTCATGGTCCTCCTGCTCACCAAGCACCTGCAGGAGGACGGGGAGACCCCCGGCCCCCTCTCGAAGCAGGACCTCCTGGCCTCCCAGCAGGCCCAGAAGGCCTTCGACCTGTGGGTCTCCCAGCACGCCACCAAGTCCCAGCAGGACCTGATCCGGTCCAACGCACAGAAACGGAAGGACTTTCTCGAGGCCGAGGCGGTCCGCCTCTCGGGGGGCCTCACGGCGGAGGAGAACGCCGAGCTGGAGCACCTCGCCAACGACGACTCGGACGACGACTACGACTCGGACGACCCGAACGACCCGCTGGCGGGGATGAAGCGCCGCCAGAAGGCCCACAAGCGGGAGCTCCTGGAGGCCAAGCGGACGGGGGAGTACGACGAGGAGCGGGACGGTCCGGCCCTCCGCTGGGAGGACTCCCTCCTCTACCGGGAGCAGCARTCCCGGCTGGCGGCCCAGGAGGCGGTCGGGAAGGGCGGAAGCGGCAGCGCCGGAACGACCCTCAACGTCCGCAAGTCCCAGGAGGCGGCCGCCGAGCTGGCGGAGCGGGAGGAAGAAAAGTCACGCTTTCTGCGCCGGGACCCCCTGGGGCTRCACGGGGAGGACTTTGACCTGCAGGCGATCGAGACCAACCAGGTCGAGCAGCTCGAGAGCGCCCTCGGACAGCTCCAGGAAGAGCTCTCCAAGGCCGAGGCGGGCGGGGAGGACGACCAGGCCCTCCGGGCCAAGAAGGAGTCCCTCGAGATGGTCCTGGACGGCGTGGTGGGGATCGGCAAGGGGCAGAGCAAAGGCCTCGGGGCGGCGGCCCTCGACCAGGGCGCGACCGGGAAGAGCGTCCTGCCCACCGACGGGAACTTTGATCCCATCCTCTTTCTGACCCTGGTGCACCGGGGGGCGTCCTACGAGGAACTGGTCGGTTCCATGAACCGGCTGAGCAGTGAGTACAGCGTCGTGCCTGCAGCGTCGTGTCGTGTCGTGCAGCGTCGTGCATGCTTTGTGTGTGCTTTGTGTGTGTGCTTTGTTTGTTTGTCCGTCTAGTTGTCTCACCCCGAGTTCGACCATGCGACCTGGTTTTGCCCAACACCAACCATCCGGTTTGCCTTGTTTTCTTCTCGTAGCCGACACGCAAAACCAGGTGAAGCAGCTGCAGGACATGGTGCGGGAAAACTTTGCGCTCTTCCTCCGGTGCGCCGATGGCATCGACACGTTCAACGAAAAAACCCTGTCCCAGTCGGGACCGGGGGTCACGGATCGCCTCAACCGGCTGGACGCACTGGCGGAATCGTGCTCCCACCAGGCCAAGAAATCCTTCAAGCCGCTGCTRGACAACGCCAACGAGGTCCGAAAGGTGCAGTCGGCCCTCAACGTCCTGCAGCGCGTCGAGGCCGTCCTGCAGGCACCCTACCTGATGCGCCAGCACGTGGAGAACGGCCGGTTCTCGGCCGCCCTCAAGGCCTACCGGCTCGTCCAGGTCATCGACGATTCCAACAAGATCGAGATCCTGATCCACGTCAAGCAGCAGGCGATGGAGTGTGCCCGGGAGGCCCGGCGGGAACTCGAGGGCCGGCTGGCCCAGGACAGCAAGATCGGTGTCACCGGTCTGCTGGATGCCATTCGAGACCTGGGAGAACTCCTCGAGCTCAACATCCCGGAGGACCCCGGGGAGGCCGAAAAGGTTTCGGGAACGGCGCGCTTCCGCCAGCAGCTCGTGGGAACCTACAACATCGGGGGGATCACGATCAACGTCCGCGACTTCCCGCCCGCACTGGCGTGCCTGCTGCTGCAGGCGGCCCACTTTACCTCTTTGGTATCGGGTGCCATCCAGGACGCGGACAGCATCACCACGCGCATCTTCCAGGGCGAATCGCTGTCGGCACAGAACACGCTGGATCCGGACARCAACAACAACAACAAGGGCGAAGAGAAAGAACACGAGGGAAGCAAGACGCCGTCGCGATCCAAGCAATCCTCTTCCGCCAACAGCAACCAGTGGAAATACGACGTTCTCGAGGCGCGCAGCCTCGTGACGATCCGCGCCGTGGAGATCATCTCCAAGTGGCTCCCGCGTCTCCTGGAGGTGGCCATTGCCGCGAGGGAGGACGAAAAACGACGGGCCGCCCGGGTGCGGTCCAACCCCGGCGGCACCAAGGAAACCTACCAGCTGACGCCCTTTGAGGTCTTTCTGACCAACGTCGCTCCAGTCGTTACCAAACTGGTGGAGCACGCCGCCTTTTGCGGCCTCGGAAGCGCCCCCCGCGGAAGCGGCATGGACATCAAGATGACCTTTGGAAAGAAATCTTCCGAGAAGCTCCGGGCGCTCCTGCGCTCGCCCCTCCCGCCGTCCCAGAGCGCCCGCGTCGGGAAGGAACTCGCCGACATGGTCGCGGTCCTGGCCCAGAGCAGCATCACGGTCAACCAGCTGAGGCCGCTGCCGGGAGAGTCTACGTCTACGGCGAAGAACGTGTACACGCTGTCGCCCCTGGACGAAAGCCGAACGCTGGGGGAGCAATCCGTCATGACCATCGAGCGGAGGAGGTGCATCTATGCCTTTGACATTTGTGCCCGGGGATGTTCCAGCCGGGCCACCGGAAGCGGGAAATTCGATGCCGACTCCCTGCTGWCCTGCCTCCGCACGCTGTCCGAGGAACTGACCCGGCCCGAGGAATGCTCGACCGAGGTCGAAAAGGGCTGCGAGATCGTYATTCGCAAGTGCTGCGACGGGCTGGCGTCGTACGTGCGAGACCGGGGAGACACGGCCCGGCTGAGCGCCGTGGCCGAGTGCGCCGACGTCCTGCAGACCCGCATGACCGACGTCGTACGGGAGATTGGCTACCTCACGAACAACCACGAAGCGGTCGAGGGGGTCATGATGGAAGATATTATGGGTCTCGAGGGCGCCATGTTCGACGAGTTCCTGGACAGCATTCGGGATTCCACGTCGTCGTGCTGCCGGATGGGCTGGCTCGACGTCCGAACGTCGGATCTGACAAAGGATTCTCCCAGCGACAGTCCCTCGGGAGGCTTTCCGCCCTACCTCTCGGCATCGCTGCTRTCGATTGTTCGGTGCAGGGCCCAGGTGGAACAAGCCCTGGGGTCAAAGGTTCGTCGGTCCGAGGGCCAGACCTACCAGCACATCGCCATGGCCATCGTGGCCGAGGGGATTGCCGAGGGGATTTGCGAACAAATCCAGCGGCGCAAAATGACCCTCAAGGTCCGCCAGTCCGATCGGCTGGCRAACGAGCTGCAGTTTCTGATGAACACGCTCAAGACGTACCTTTCCAGCGAGGCCATGTCCCTGCTCGACGGCACCCGGAGGATGCTCTGCAGCAAGGCGGGACGCGGAAACGGAATGCAGGGCGAYGGACCGGACGGCCTGGCCGCCCTAGAGGAACTGGAACGCCTRGGTCGCGTGTACGTGCTCTGTCTGGGAGTGTAAATACCAACGCTGTTGTTTCTAGTCATAAATTGGGCTGCATGCCATAATAGAATACGATTCAAGAATTAACCCGATTAAAGAAAGCCTTGTTGACTCGTCGTTAATCTTTGGAACTTCCCCCGTTGGCAAATTCAATTTCTAATCGACAATGCCCTTCAAGTCCATGGAAGAAACGATCGAAATAATGGATGTACCGAAAGCTTTGATGTAATGGTCGAAATGACGTCTCTTCCCTTCCATTGACGGGTGCGACAGGAACATACAAGAATCCATCGCTCGCGTCTGGAAATTGTTATGGACTCGGTGGGACCCTGCGGAACGAAACAAAACGTTGAATTCGAATAGCCGACCCTTAAGGGTAGAATTACATTGACAGAAGAGGGACGAGTAGACAGKAATATGTTTATAGACTCAAGAAGTTTCACAAAAATCGAAGATTSCAAAGGTTCAGAGTTTTTGYTTGCATGAATATCATTGCAGTTGCTGGATTCTGAAACTCAACCCTGTCCTTGGAGAGTGACAATAATGTTGCGGGTATGACCGCCTCCCCAACCGCCTTGGTCTCTGTGTTCGTTGAGATAAATTCCTGTTTTCGAAGGAACAACAAATCACGATTAGAAAYGTAGATCCATTGTCAGCTCAATGGCAACCGATAATTGTATTATCTTCCTTACCTTGCCAGGTTCCGAGTGCCAATCTTCCGTTTCGAATCGGTATGTTCAGGGACGGACCCATCAGAGACGTTTTCACGTGCCCTGGCATGTCATCGTCTCCCTCCATGGTGTGTCGAAAGGTTCCGTCGTGGTTCCAAGAGGCCGGAACAATCTTGTTGAGGGCGGTTTCCAGATCTCTACGGACGTCCGGGTCGGCATTCTCGTTCACAGTCAAACTCGCAGACGTGTGCTGTACAAACAAATTGCACATGCCAATCTTGATTTGTGAAATATCTTTGGAAATAACTTTTTGGACGTTGCTAGTGATGAGGTGACATCCCCTGGAGGGGGCGGTAATCGATAGCTCGTGCTGGAACCACTTCATTGCCATCTGTTGTTGTTCTTGTTGCGAGGATTGGCAGRCGGTGGAAGAAGTTGTTGGTGCACCCGAGATAGGCGGAATGACAAAACAAGTGACAACGGACAGAGTTGAAAGGAGGAAAATCGACGAAATTATGTTGCGAAAAGATTTCATTGCAACTCGAATGATCGCCACTATGGAGCAGTGATACAGTTCAATGGATTCGACTCTTTGTAAAGATCGATGGTATGAAAGATATTTTACGATGATGATGTGATCATTCCCAACTAATGATGCACCGTGATGGGATCATTACGACTTCGAAAAGAACCGCGCTTGGAATTCGCAACATTATTTCTGCGCGTTCATTTTTATGAAATGCGCTTTTTCCTGYWCAGAGAAATRAATRAAGTTTCTAATAACTTCATCCCTAATGTAATAGATTCTTTCGTTCACTGATCCCTAAGAGTTAGCGTGTGTAACTTTCACTCTTAATTCTAATAGCTAGCAATCATATCGTGCTCGTCTTCCTTCGTTTCAAACGCTTCGTTGTTATTGAGGCCCCGTTCTTAATTCCCGGTTAAAAGCACACCTTCATTCCTCACAGTATGATTGCAAACAACGCTCGGCTTCGAAACTATAAAAAGTGAAGCTCGCAGCCKATGCTTTGCACGCGCCATTTCMTTGTGTGACGAATTGACATCCAGAGGAAAAACATTACCGAGTGCTGGCTACTCTTTCGARAAGGGAAGAACACAACGGTATTTGAACAGCTAAATAGGAGGGTATGGTCGCTCGAGGATCGCTCAAGATTCGAATCATGACAGGTTGAGATGGAAATTTCTTCCAGGTATCTTYCATCTCTCTTATCTCTCGATGAGAAAAAGTTGTTATGCGTGCATCTATCGGGGACTTTCGCACATGGCACAGTAGAAACCTCCCGTGTTCATGTACGTGCACCGAGAACAAGCCCACATTTCCGAAGCAGCCGGATACCCATTTGCGTCGTCAATCGCGCCATCACTATCCTCCAGTGCCATTCCTCGATTTCTAGACCGATTGAGCAATTGTTCCATTCTTTGTACCGCATCCCCCATCGCATGCACGTGTTGGCTCGCCGCCAGCATCTGTAGGCTCAGATCGCGCGCACTAGGTGCTGCTGATGCAGAACCCCCTGCCGTGACGTAGGGAGTRGTGGTTGACCGGTTGTTCCCTGCCGTGACGTAGGGAGTAAGAGTTGGCTCGTAGTTCTCGCCTTCGATGTGCAGTAGCAGTCTATTGAAGACTTCCGAGCTGTATCGCCCAACATACTGCTGGATCCCGTTGCTGTTGTCGTTGCTGCTGTTAGAATTAGGATAAGGATAATAATTTGTCGTTTTCGATGAAGATGACGAAGCTTGTTTATCACCATTCTCTTTTTGTTGAGCAAGAGCCTTCTTTTCTTCTCTATAAATCTGAAACAACAAATAATTCAACGCTACGCGTTTTTCCGACGCACCGGCAGTCAGGTACGTAATTTGCATCTGGGTCGCTCGTAGATGGGACCGTGCCACAATGTCACTCATTTGCTCGGTAATGGTTTCGAGCTCGGATTGAAGCCGCTCAAATCGAAGCTTCTCCTTGCGTTTGTTTCCAAGGTAGCCAAATCGCTGCGAGTCCGAAGATTTCGAGGGATATCGGTAGAAGGAAAAGGCGTAGCTGTGACGAAGAGTTGATCGGCATTCTGCAAGCTCAAAAAAGGCGTTGTGAACGAAGGAAAGGCCTTTCCCATCAAAATTGAAAGTTGGATATCCTTGGAATTCGATKGCAGCTTCCACGACCGGAGCTAGACGGGTGCAAGCTGTGTCCGCCATTTTCTGCTCCAAGATGGCACTCGCCTTGTGAGCTTCCCAGCGCGTGTAATGGTGAATGAAACGTTTCATTYCTTGTTTCTTCCTCCAGGCACTCCGTGACGCATGGATAGAAGTYCCGTATCCTTCGTCATTTAGCAAATTGGAAAGGAAATTTTCGTTCCCAAAATCCATCTCGTCGTCTTGTCTATCTTCGACCCGATCGGGGTCGTCTTCTTTCCAGATATTGCACCGGAAGAAGCCACCGGTGTCGTTCGAGTGCAACTTCCAGTCTTTGCGGCATATCCAACAAAACTCGTGGAGACAGCTATGACACACCATATGGTTGCAGCCATCGTTCTTCTCGATCGGGACATTGCAAGCGGGGCACGGGCGGGTGTTCGCCTTGAGCCAGAGCTTGTGGGCCAAATCGTTGACATCGCTTTCCTCACCTTTTTCGGCATCCACGCTGCCAATCTCGTCGCGCACGCGTTGTTTCCATTCTTCCAGACGCTCGCAGGTAAGCGGCCAGTGAACCCCTTCCCCGCAAGAGAAACAAAATCGCTGGGCCTTGAGGGGTTGTTTGCGGCTGAGGCAGTTGGCATAGTCCGGATCTGCCACACCTTCGTACGTCAATTGATTGCAGGCGCTCGTGCTTCCGGMAAAGTTCTCGCCRCTGTGGCAAGCCACACAAGTCGCTCCGGTGTWATTGAGGAATGATTCGTCGTAGCCCGAACTTGCCCATTTGGGCTGTTTCAGTCGGTGCACAATTCCCGAACAATTGGGATASGTGCAAAACCTAAAATTTGGATGGGTGGTAACAAAATTGTCGGTACTTGCTTCCTCGATGCGGAGCAGGATTTCGGGGTGATCCTTTTCGAGTAGAGCGCGAATGTCGTTTATAGAAAATCCCGCGTCGCAGCCATGCTGTGGGCACTTCACGGAGTGAACAGGAAGGCGATTRTTCCCGGCATCTTTGGCATAATCCACAAGGCAATCTTTGCAGAAACCRTGCTTGCAATTTCTTAATATCATCCACTTATCCTCTGCTATCTCGTCGTCGTAACAAATTTGGCAATGACGACCGGCAGTATCGATGTCATYGGCTGCACGCGCAGCCGCATTCTCGGCCTTTGCTCCCTTWGTTATAATGTCAAGGGAAATGTCGATTCCGGCAGCACTGAGAGCCTCCGATTGGTCCTTCCGGAAAGCCTCCAACGCCGCTGGGAGATTCCATTCGTGGTATGCCATGTAGCGTTCCAAATGATGGTCTGCCAATAGCTCCAAATAACACTTTGGCTCGGCGACATTGGTCTCGGTCTCATCACCGACCGTMTCTGTGCCGTCGTTCGATAGGGATGGTGGGGGTTTCAACTCYTCCTGGGGGCTTTCCCCGCTGGTAGTAGCCTTCGAATGCTGGGKGGCAGTCGTCACATAGGGTGCAAGGTTTTCTGGTACTCTGGAGACATCGCTGGACGTGAGGATTTCGGTGGCACTGGGTTTCTTGTCTAGGTCTTCCAATATCATATTTGTGTCGTCRGAAGCCTGGCCTTCCCCCTCGAGGATTATTTTTTCGAGCTTTCCTCGGGCTTYCTCGAGTCGGCTTCGTCGTTCCATGGCAATCTCCTCCTTCGAGCACGTGATGAACCATCGGAACGGCGGAACAATGGGGCCGCAGGGGTTGCGTCGCTTGTTGACGTAGCTAGTGTCGTCCGTTTGGTTGGCCTGCCCCGCCGCCATCAGGGTAGTTTGCATCTCGTCGTCCATTCCGTAGGGATCCACAAAGAGCAGGGCACGGGCTTCGAGCTGAGCGGCCAGAGCGTCGTGGCCGTTGGCTGCTGCCACCTCACAGGGGGTCCGTGTCCCTACTTCGTCCACGATCGTCAGCATGACACCGAAATTGGAAAGAATGGCCATGCATATGTCCGACCTGCCGTGCTCTGCGGCATAGTGCAGYGCAGTCCGACCACTGGTGTCCACGGCATTGATGGATGGCTGGTCGCCGGATTCCCTGTCGACCCAGGATAGCAGAGCCACCATTGCATCCATGCGGTCCATCACAATTTCATTGAGGCGTTTTGGATTGGCTGTGTTTCCTGATCTATTTTTTGGCTCTCTAGCCATTTGATCGGATMGTGTGTCGCATTGTGAGTCCTGGGCTTTCTCTTGYGTGCTCTTGGACTTCATTTTTTCGTCTCTATCTCTCCTGTTGCTAAAGCCTCGCAGTTTCGCAAATAAATTTCGCTTGCTACTTCCACTCGTACCAAAAGACTTTCGCCGGTTGCCTCCGCGACCACTTCTAGAGGACGACGTTTTGCTTTCCGAAGCCAGGTCGATTTGACGCAACAAGTCCAAACTCGTGCTCGGAATGGCTGTCGCTCTGATCCCAATGGTAGCTACCACCGCCGAAGCCGAATCTTGGGGCAGCGAYGGTGATGTCGAAGAAGATGGCAACGATGCTTTCGCTTTCTTGCTGCTCTTGCGGTCTTTGTGCTTCTTTGWTTTGGGTTTGTTGCCGGGAGAATTCGGTCGGCTTTTCCCACTCGCCGCATCTGCTTCGGCCGCTGCTCGTGCTAGCTTCTGCTCTTCGGCTGTGATCCCTCCGGCGCACATRTGGAGAGCGGTTCGCAGGCACCTGTTTTTTTCGTTGGCGTTCCCGCCGTGAGCAAGGAAAACCCTGACCAGGTCTCCCGCACCCAGCCTCGCAGCCTCGTGGAGTGGCGTGATGACCATGGTATCTTCCTTCTCGTCGTCGTCTTCGTCGTGGCGATTGTCGTTCTCGGTTGCGAGATCGGACGAAGAAGTCAGGCTCTGCAGCAACGGATCCATTCCCCAACCACTCAGCGTAGCACTTCTGTCGTGGCTGCTGTCTTCGATGTCCAGAGTTGAGGAAGTCTCAAGAGATGCTGGCTGTACACCGAGAAAGATCCTTCGAAAGGCYGTTCTCGGGTGCCTGGCCTTTCGCTTTTGCCGCTTGCGTTCCGCAATGAGGGCCTCTTGTTCCAATGCGTGCTGGATCGGATCGGGGAGCTTTGTTTGCGCCGGATAATCATAGGTAGAATCGTCGAATGGACACAGAAAGTCGTCCGCAATGAATGAGTCYGAGGGGTTCATCTTGGATTGCAAAATTGGAATGTTGGAACCACCGATCATGGCCTCGGTTTCCACTCTTTGCTCTTGGTGATGCCTTAGTAGCGTGTTGCGGTAGTCGGTGTTGTCTCTGTCGATATCGACRTTGAACCTRCTATGGTCGCTATCGCCCTCTAAATCGGTCGGCATTCCTAGTTTCTTCCTGCTGCGCCGTTCGCCCCTTTTCTCGAGCTTTCTGGAGCTTCTCCCGGGAGTTAGGTTCTCGGTGGCAGCAGCTGCTGCTTTCTCTTCCTGATTCCGACGCTCCCGGTCTTCTTCTTCCAGCCATTGCACAAAGTCCGACAGAGTTGCCTGATAGACTTTCATTGYCGATGCCGAGTCTTCCTCGGAAAAGGCCTTCCACAACCTYCGCCTGAGGGAACGCACGACAAAGTCGTACGTCAATACTCTCGTGTTTGTGTCTATGGCCAGGGGAAGACTGCAGATGCTCTCTGGTGGTGGCCGATGCTCGTCGTCGAGCCGAAGCTGCTGGTGGCTGTCCTTGAGAACTTTGGGGGAGTGTTTTTTCTTCTTGCTTTTCTTCCGGGGAGACGGTTGCTTCGGCGTCGATGGCGACGGGGGCTGTATATCCCCCGGAAGCGAAGGGATGACGGATTGCTGATCTGTCTTTGCCATTTCTTCGATTCTGGTTGTTTGAAAGMGTTCAAAAGCTAACTATCGAACAAGATCGTATCGAAGCGATCGGCGTMGTAAAGCAGTCCTCTRCCTTGAAACAGAGGAATCGAAAAGTTGGAAGCTCGAGACGTAACTATGATCCTATGATTGCTGGCTAGAGAACAGAGCCTTTCCTTTCATATATTTGATGTTCGTGTTTGTTCTGATCCGATCTGCTGCGTTCTGTTCTGTTCTGTTCTGTTCTGTTCTATTCTGTAAGCCTGATCGAATGGCGGGATCGGTGGACACGAGATATGCGCTATGAAATGACAATAATATTATTAATGCGTTACGAATATGTCTCGAAATAMGAATGGTTGCCCGTGCTACGCCTGGTCGTACGAGGAATACAGTAAAATCGTCGAACAACMTCGAAATCGATCAGACGGATTTTGTTTTGTTGTTTGCCTTCTTATTTTGATCAGTTGTGGATTCGACGATCCCATCGATCACGGTGATGCAAAATCACGCCTGTTTGTTCGCCAAAGTTTCTGGCACCCAAAAAAGGAACGTCCCTCCCGGTACGAGTACTGATTCGTACGTACCGCGGGGTGTTGTATCGTGCGAATAGTACGGTGGATGGTGTGGATCGTGCACCGTTTTTRTTTTTAGTAGGTCCGCAGAGGCAATTTCAAATTTAAAAAACAGTCGGAGTTTTCATTGGCCGGCGATAATGTGGCAATGGTCACCGAGCCTTCTTCAATATTGCCGTACTACGAAGGACTATGGTTGCTGAAACAGTTCGTAGCGTGTCTTTCACATACGACGAGATTTATTCCCATTGCGGGAGAGACATCGCGGAAAATTGTTCCGTGACAAGGACAAGACTCGATAGTAACTCGTGCCCTTGCCACTCGGGAACCGCCACAATTGACGAACACAGGATGCAAGAGCCGATAGGTTTCGGGTTTTGATCAAAGGAACCCTCTGTCCCCGAGATCCTTCGGGGCAGCGGACCATTCGCTAGTAGTTTGAGTGCAACAACCCGCCAGCATAGCAGTAGCAGCAAGAGTCGGTAGCAATATTACAAGGCCACGAGTGCGCGTGAACCTTTGATATCACGGCAGCCATCGTGATGTCGGCTGATTTCCTGTTTGGCGCAATCCCTTTTGTCGGAAGTCTTCTCGGATCCCATTGCAGCTGGTGCTTTCTTGTTCCCAACGACGACGACGACGACGACGCAACCAGGGATCCAAAAACTTCAAGGGACTGCTAGAACAATCACAGGCAACCAAGCAAACAGCATTACAGGTGATGCCGTGGGTTGCACCGATTCGTCCACTTGCATTTCGTCCTYGTGAATGAYGGCTGGCTGATAGTGACGAATCGATGGAGCATATCTTGTCGTCCCGCCAACAAAGAAAAAGAAATTCTCATCCCCTCCCAAATTTTTGAAGAATTAGGAGGGCTGCAGGCCGGTTGGCAACTTCAACCTCTGTTGTTTGATCTACTACAATTTTCTTGCCATGCTGTTAGTTTTGTTGTTCGGGAATTGGTCATGTTTGTGTCGAAGTCGGACGGAGGTGCTGGCTATAGATGAAGTAATGGATATACGTCAAACTGTAGTCGCCGTACAGGAGCTTGGGTTGTTGAAGGCTGCAACCGTGGAATAAACTGACAGCTTTTTTGTCGGATCTAATGTTTTCAACGAGTAGGAGTAGAATAAGAGGATTCTACTATTTTCCTTGGTTGTCCTCGAACACCACCACCTTYCACAGAAAGAATGCATAAGAATTGCGATTCATAAAACCGGGAAACCGATGGGCTGATAAATTTACTCGAAAGCCTAGTGCTTTTGCATGATAAAAGACTCACAGACAATTGATTCTTGTTGATGGGAGAGGTTTGTTCATCCATTGCTAGCAACGATGTATGCAAGGAAGAGCGACATGCACCACACTAACGTGGTGAGGGCGGTTTGGTGGCCTTATTTGCTTGTCGTGCTCCCTAGTTATGATAAATTTTCTCCGCAATTCACACAGAAACCAAATCTGTCCCACTCATACTGCGGCTAGACCACATAATTGTACCGTACAGTTTGAATTTTTAATTTACTAGTAATTGCTTCTTAACATCCAATGGCCATTCCACCGTCAACATTGAAGGTGTGTCCGGTGATGTATTCAACGGAAGGATCCAGGGCCAAGAATTTGCACATACCGGCAATTTCCGAAGGCTTTCCCAATCGCTTGAGAGGAATTCCCTCCGAGACCTTCGCCAGGTATTCCTCGTCGAGTTCGCCGACCATGTCCGTTTCGATGAATCCGGGGCACACGCAGTTGACCTTGATGCCCCGGGCCGCGAACTCCTTGGCGTTCGACATGGTCAGGGCGATGACACCTCCCTTGGCGGCGGCATAGTTGGCCTGGCCGGGGTTTCCGAATTGACCGACCACCGAGGAAATGTTGATGATGCGTCCGGTTCTCTTCTTGGCGGCGATCTTGAAAAAGGCCTGTGTGCAGTAGAAGACACCGGAGAGGTTGGTGTCGATGACGGCCTGCCAGGCGTCCTGCTTCATTCTCATGACGAGGCCATCGCGGGTGATTCCGGCGTTGTTGATCAAGACATCGACGGTTCCGAAGGCTTCAACGGATTGGGCAAAGAGCTCCTTGATGGCATCGGGGTCGGAGGCTGTTGGGGTGTGTTTATTTTTTGTTTCATCATTCATTCGGTTTTGATTCCGCACGTCGCGTGTGCATTTGTTGTGTCGCCCGCAAAAATGCAATTTAAAAACCAYCAACCGACAAACAGAAAAAGTGAGGCAATGAAATAATGAGCTATCAAAAGCCACAGAAGTAGCCGCTGAACGTTTCTGTGTGGCACAGTCGAATGGATGCCACCACACAGTTTTCGATTCCTGCTACTTTCAAAATTCTCATCTCTGCAGTGATGCGATGTGATGCGATTCGATTCGATCTACCCTGCAAAACAAGATAACTCACAATCGGCCTGGATGGCGATGGCGTCTCCACCGGCTTCCTTGATTTCGGCAACGGTTGCCTCGGCGGCGTCCTTGGATCCGTCYGAAACGTAGTTGATGACAATCTTCTGACCGGCCTTYCCAAGGTCGGTGGCGATYGATTTTCCCAATCCACGCGAGGATCCCGTCACCAAAATGACCTTGGCGTCGTCGGCGACCATTCGGAGGGCGTTGCTGCTGCCGGACGCCTTGAGGCCAAAGGATGCGGCCGTGTTGACTGGAACGAAGGCATCCGAGGTCGAAACGACGAGGGCGGCAGCCAGGGACAGGAGGGAGCGGGATGAAAAGTACATGGTGCTAGTGTTTCTTGACAGTTACTAGTTGGATTCACTCTAGTTGTGGGACCGGATTGCAACTTCGAGAGACCAGCGTCGACGGAGCAAACCAGCCCTGGATTTCGTTGCGTCGGATATCATCGTACGTATGGGATACAGTATTACCGGTACGAGTACGTACCATGATCATTTTTTCCGTCAGAGAAGCTAGGATCACACTCACACACCTATTTTTTTTAAAAACATCAACGCGCCAAAGAAATCCGAAGCAAAATACGTCACCGTTGAGAACACGCCCGAGTGAATATTAATCGAGTGRGTCGTTTMGTTGAAACCTRGTCGAGCGAGTCATGCTTGTCAAMCAAYAATTTGGGGGAGGTCAAAATATCGAAGACCAAGTTCGACGAATATCAAGCATTTCATTCCCCCGATTCCTATTCGTGACAACACGACCTCTCCCGATCACACACTCATCGCAAGCAAACCGAAGCCGCTGTTTGTATCAACACATCTGTTTAGGGCATCCACAAATAAGTGTTTTGTAGTATTAATCAGAGGATAGGCAGACACATCATTCCAATCCAAGAAGATTATCTCCCACCGTTGACTTCGGTTTCTGCAGATTACAATAGAGAGAACAATGCTGTCGTCGGTAGCACGTCGGAGAGCAACGAGTGCTGCGGCAGGCATGCACAGAAGGGCGGCAGCGGCAGTCGCCTCGACGAGCAGTGTGTCGGGAACCGCAGCAACAACCACCTCCGCCTCCGCAATGCCCTTTCCATCCGTGCCGTTGTCGGCACGCCATTCCTCATCGGCACCGCAAACGCWGTCGGAAGATTCATCSAAGACGGATTCGTCGCAAGAATATGTCTCTGTCTTGAAACTGAACATGTTGCAACAGAATCCCGGAGCTATCAAGAAGGTGTGTTTGTGGTTTTTGCGAATGAGCTCCCTAGCGATTGAATCTACAGATTACGCCACAGAGAAAAACGTCGTGATCGATGGAGGTGTTTGTCGCTACTGCCAATCGACGATTGCAGGTTTTAATCCCTTCGAAACAACAGAGTGGGAAGCTGTGTTGTTATTTTCTGCCTTGCTCACTTTCACGCTGTTATCATTGTTTGCACCCATCGAATGTTGTTTTCGTTCCACTGTTGCGGTTCCGCCCTGCTTCGTTCCAAACTCTAATGGAAATAACAAAGAAACGCCGCGTCGGCCGTGGTATCGGATCCTCAAAGGGAAAGACATCCGGCAGGGGCCACAAGGGAACAAAAGCGCGTGCTGGTGGTTCCGTTCCTCTCACCTTTGAGGGTGGACAGACACCCCTGTACAAGCTCCTTCCCAAGCRGGGATTTACGAACAAACGGCACAAGGCGGATATGGTTGCCCTGAACGTAGGAACCATTCAGGATTACATCGACATGGGGCGTCTGTCCCTGGAGAACACGGACGACCAAAACATCCCCCTCTGGAACATGAAGGATTTGTTGGATGCGGGCATGTTTACGACGTCGTCGGTAAAGCACGGCATCAAGYTGTTGGCGGAAGGAAAGGARCGACTCAAGACCCCCTTCAAACTGGAGATCTCCCGCGCCAGTGAATCGGCCATCCGAGCCGTTGAGGCCGTCGGTGGAGAAGTAACCACGGTGCACTACAACCGGCTGGCCCTGAGGGCATTGCTGAAACCCAACAAGTACGTTGCTACCGCCGATAAGGAGGACGAGGGTGGCTACGGATTCAGCAACGACAGCCACCAAGAAGATGCGATCGTCCGCAACAACAGCAAGACTCCCAGGTTGCTGCCGAAATTTGCCCGGCCGCCACCCAAGTGGCAACCCTACTACACAAACTGGAAGAACCGAGGATATCTGAGCGTCCAGGCCCAAATGCGAAAATTGATTTCGGAGCGGCCTGAACTGGAGGAAGCTTTTTCAAAGGCACTGGAAGAAGCCGGTGCAAAGGGGGGAAAATAATTCTCTAATCGAAACAGTACTATGCAAAAGTAGTTAGCAGCCATAGGAGACAATAATCTGTAAAGTAGTATCGATACTTGTCCAGTGGTGAAGTGAAACACAATATTTCTTAAAGTGCTGTCTACCATTGAGTCCATGTTACGTTTTTTGAACAGGAAGAGGCATTGTAAAGAGGCATTGTGTGGGCTAGAACCATTACCAATGCTCCTAGTTGCTGAAAGGGGCAGTACCTGCTCTCAAAGGACTTGTGTTGGAGCCACAATCAATTAGGGGATAAAGTGGCATTGTGCTTCCTAATATGCCAAACACAGTTCAAATTGCATTATGGTAAGATTTAGATCATCAAGGTCCAACTACTTGCCCTATCCTGCAAACATCATGTGTCTCCTCTTTTGACAGCAATATTTTTAAGTTTAAGCTTTGTATCACCAGCAATAATTTCATCATAAAGTTGGAGTGGAGAATATTTGAGAAATATGCAGTGGTAGTTGTATTAGTAGTGCTAGCAATATCTAATGCTCAGTAAAGTACTGATGATTTCAAATTCCCAAGAAGACTGACATTTAGCCAGGAAATCTGTCCCTTTTATGGATGTTGGTCTAGATAGTTCAAAATAGCCAACATGTTGTTTTAATGCCATCGCAGTCCTGCTAATAGCTATGCTTTGATAAATTCCATATTCTTCACTTTCTAGCAAGAACCTGCATTTACATTAAAAGTAGACTTAGAAGTGTATGTATTTGAATGAAAATCAAAATCAATGAACATACATACTAGGTTTCACAACTTGCATTTTGTTTTTGAAAAGGCATGATATGTTTCCCTCCATTTGTCAGATTTGCCACTGCTGTTACTAGTAAAACAATGTAGAAAGCCATACTTGTCACAATTGTATCTTATCAATCAGTCAGTCAGGGTTCAACAAGGTGACTTATTCACATGTTTCCATCAAGTTCTTTACCTTTTACATTGACCATCTTTCCCCCTTCCTGCCAACATTTTCTACTCTGTTGAAGAATCCTCACTTGGTTGCCCCACCAACCTTTTTGAGTTTTTGAATCAATGTGTTCAGCAAATTCCTTTACATTTCTGAAATTCTAGAATTTTCTGCTGGTTCTTTAGTTCCTTCCCCTTCAGCAGAGGAGTCAAGTTGTTGTCGTGACTTTAGTAGTAGCTAGCATAGTCTTAGTTGCTTCCATCRCTTGCCAATCAAATCAAGAATAAATCAAATCACATACTGAAATGCTGGCATTTGTCCAGCAGCAGGTGCCAATTCAAGTTTTCAATCATTTCTGAACCAATACTAGTCAGGTGAGATGATAGGCAGCTCAAATCAAGTTCATGTTACTAAAACAAAGTGATGCAACTGCCCTAAAAGTGAAAGTTTCCACTCAGTTTTTGATCAGGAGGAGAATCAGATGAAAAACAGAATAAATCAAGTTCTTGTTGCTACTTCCAACAACTGATCTTGTTGTCCTCATTCACATTTTTGAATAAGAAATTACTAGTAGTAGTCTTGTTGAGAATATTCTGATCACCCAAGCCATTCTTGTAATAATACATTATCATTGTATTTCACATCAATTTTTGAAACTGGGACTGTCTAAATGCTAGTTTGAGTCACCAGTCATTTCTAGAGCATACTAGTCAATATGTAAATTAGAGAGAGAATCAAGGTATCATTATCTTGAGAATATCCATTCATTTCATTTGTAATATACAATATATGAGGATGCATTTGTAATATACAATATATGAGGATGCATTTGTAATATACAATATATGAGGATGCTTTGTAGGAGATTAATATTAGTAGTACCATTAGTAAATATGAAATACTAGTACCACTTGAGCAGATACTACTTGAGCAGAAGCATTACTACTAGTATGCAACCATTACTACTCCTCTTTGTTGCTACAGTGGTGAGGAAATTTGATGGCAGAATGTTGAATGATGCAAATACTAGTAGCTGGTTTGATGAAAATATAGTCCTTCTTCCTGCTTGTTGAAGTTTGCATTACTAGTAGTTCAAACATTAGTAGTAGCAGTTAATAGAGAATGGAGGATAATTTGTAGTAGATATCAATTCATTTCTAATAGAGGATTGAGGATGCTAGTAAATACTATGAAGAAATACTACTTGAGTATCAGCAACATTCTACATTCATGAAGACAACTCTTAGATGGAGGAAGAGTGGTGGGAAAACTTGATGACAAAACACAAAATGACTTCAATAGCTATTTTGATGAGAAAATATCCCTTCTTATTGTGTGTCAAGTGTTGTAATAGTAGTTCAAACATTAGCAGCAGTTACTGTACACTTTGTGCAATCAAGAACTTGTACTGTTGCATTCTAGGCAGAAGATCAAGCAAAATAACTCCTAATTTCTTCCTGCTTGTTGAAGTTTGAAATACTAGTAGTAGTTGAAACATTAGCAGTTACTACAGTACTACTGTACACTTTCTGCAATTAGACTGGTTTTGCTATGCTCATGAACTTCTTGTAGTATTGTTGCATTCTGTGGAGAAGATCAAGGAAACCAACTAATGCCAAATACTTTCTAGGGAAACAAAGACATTGCAAGTGCTAGTAGTATGCAATCAAGCTAAATTGGGTTTTCTATTGAAATAATTTTGAAACGATGCCAGTAGTAGTACTGGAAGTGGTTGTTGTGTGAACTGATAAAATGATTAATGAAAATTGCAGCAATAGCTTGTTTTGTAGTAGTAGTAGCAAACAATACATATTGGAGGAGGTGCGTGACCACAATTTTTCAAGCAATACAAAGTAAAAGAAATCAAGATRAAAAATACCATTTTGACTCGAGTTCAGTGGCTTAGTATGCCATAAAAACAAATCATAAAATTATGTGCTGCTAGTGGCATAAGCAAAAATATGTTTCCAATGTCATAAATTGTAGTTCTTCTAATATCTTTACCATCAGGAGATTCTTTGACCCAACATATTTTGCTTGTAAGAAGCATTGTTATCTAACAAGTACTACGTCACGTAGTAGTACTACTAACAAACAAAGTTTTAGTAGTAGTTTTATTAGTATCCCCTCCTTTTACTACTACTAGTATCCTTTACAGAGAAGGGAAAGCAAAAGTAGAACTCAAAGAAGGAAATAGATTTTCTTTTGTGTTTCCTAGTACTATGGGGAAACCAGCTTGACCCACCAACTTCAAGGAACCAAAACAAAAAATTCATGATGTTCTTGGGGTTGGGGTGGTTGTGGCTGGCGCAAAGYAGGTGCCTTGAACAGGCCTTGTAGAATTTGGGCTTTCAGAGCTTGTTTTGGTACTAGCTAGTAGTAGTAGTAGTACCTTCTTCCACCACCTCAATCTTGGCCTTGCCAGTTCAGTCCCGGCAGACCCTGCTGGCCTTCATTTGTCCATTCCACTGGGATGATGGTTCTGGTGGACTGTGTTGTTCTTGTTGGTGTCTTCTTGCCCTTGCCGTTCTACCAGCAGCAGAAGCTAGTACGGAACCAGCAAGAGAAACACAAGTGCATTCCACCATCATGCTCCTGGCTTGCCATCCAGACAAAAGCATGGGCATTCTTTTTCATTGCTGGACCCGCCTCTGTCTTCCGCAGCAGCACCGTGTGGATCTTCTTCCGGTGGTGTCGGCATGACCGAGGGAAGGTTCACGGCACCATTTTTCTTGCTTGCGACCGACAAGAATCCGCTGGAAACAAGAACTGCATGCATCGACCCCAGCGTCTTGTTGTTGTTCGGGTACTTCGGGTTGGCTGTGTGGCATGCACAACACGGAACGACAGAACCAGGAAGGTGCAACTGGTTTAGTACTGCTCTACAACTCCAACGAACTGCTAGCACTATTGAGCCATGCCGAGTCACCAACACCGAGACCACCAAGCCACCGTCCTCCAACAGT